TTTGGAAATTCATCCAAACATTGCTAAAAAAAAAAAGAATGGTGAAAGAAGATCGTTCAACCTGGAAAGCTAAATATACAATGCGTTTAACGGTAAGCTCAATGATGATGAATTTTTTTTGTTAAATGTGTTCTGCAATTCTGAGTTTCTTCGGAAACATTGAGAATAATGTTTATCTGAGAGCTACTTATTATGTTTGTCTTTTTTTTTTTAGCAATATTTGGATGAATTTCCAAAAGCATTTGTTGTTGGTGCTGATAATGTTGGTTCACGACAAATGCAAAAAATTCGTGTATCACTTCGTGGACATGCTGGTAAAATGAGAAGTTTTGTTTATTGTAAAAAAAAAAATTCCTTTTTTTTTTGTATATTTAATTTAGTTATTCTTATGGGTAAAAACACAATGATGCGAAAAACAATTCGCGGACAAGTATCAAAAAATTCTAATTTGGAAAAATTATTACCACATGTTTATGAAAATGTTGGTTTTGTTTTTACAAAAGAAGATTTAAGTTCAATTCGTGAAAAAATTTTAGAAAATAAGGTAAAAAGAAAGACATTTTTTTTGTTAGATTAATAAGTTATGATTGAAACTTTCCCCCCTTTTTTTTTGTATTCGTTTAGGTTGCTGCTCCAGCTCGGGCTGGTGCTATTGCTCCAGTTGATGTTACTATTCCAGCTCAAGTAACTGGTTTAGGTCCGGAAAAAACAAGCTTCTTTCAAGCTCTTCAAATTCCAACAAAAATTACACGTGGTACTATTGAAATTATTGTAAGTCGATATTCATTTGAATATCTTGTTGTTTTAGAAAACACGACTTGAAAGCAATATTAAAGTATAGAAGTAGAAATTTGAACCCTCCCTCTCTCCCATAGACAAAAATTTATGTACACGTACTTTTGCAATAATGTAAATTATTGACATTGTGACGTTGTTATTGCCTAATTTCAAAGAGAGTTATGATGGATGACATCTATTCTATTTCAGTATTTCGTAATGTTTCTCGTTCTTTGAAACCAATACGATTATCATGTACGTTTCATTTCTCTTTAATGCAAGATTCACTTTTGAAACTTGCAGATAATAATATCTCACTGTCGAGGGAGTTTCTCAATAATTCTGAACTCGTTTCATTGAACTATCATCACTGAGCTATTGATTTTCCAAGGGTAGTAAGTAGTTTCTTACTACAACAATGAGCATAGTCTCTAATCAACAACGTCTTGTCATAATATATCAACTACTTTCTTATTGTATTTTTGGAAGATTAAGTAGCAATGATGGTGAAGAAATGTTGGTGTTTCATATTTTCATCCCGTGGATAGGGACCTGTGGCTCCACGTTTTGTTTTGATATTGCATCCGAGTGTTTTTCTACCGATAGCTCGCACCCTTATGTTTACATAAACAAGTGAAAGATCAAGATTTTAGCTATTTATTAACAACTCTCAGGAAAAAATCAACTTACAGTTAATTGGTAAATAAAAATCGTCAAAAGAATATTTTCAACTGTATGGAATAGTTTTAGTACTATTAACTGACAAGGGAATATTCCCAGGTGAAGGAGCACTTTTCAGCCGGGGTTTCGCGCATCTTGTAGCCCATAGTGAGCCATGTCTATGGTAAAAAAAGTTAGGGTTTCTGGCTTGTTTCTGAGGAGATATCGAGCTTCTAGTGAATTTTTTCTATAGTACGCCCACATTGGCAGCAAGGCGATGC